GTGCTTGTTGCTAATGACCTCCGCATACAGCTGGCGGAAGAAGGTGGTCTTGGGGCAGCTCTGGTCCGTGTGCTGTATCAGGATCATGGCCGAGGCAATCAATGCTCCCTGGCGCACAAAGTTCACGGGATCGAACTTGACCATCGGCTCCAGGAGAGCAATGGCTTCGCGCAGCCCAGTGCCGGCGCAGGCAATGCCCAGAGCCATCGCTGCTCCGTAGCGCACGTGCGGGTTGTAGGACTCGGCAAGCAGACTGACCACCGAAGGACACTGTTCCGGTGTGCGGAAGAGTATGAAGCCAATGGCGGTGACGGCAGCCCGTCGAACATCGTCGTTCACATCGGAGACGGCCACGTGCAGGAGCTTGCGTATGGCTTTGTTGCTGCCGGTTCCATTGTATGCCATGGCCAGGGTGTACATGCCGGAGCGACGCAGGACGGGATCCTTGTCGGTGGACAGACTGGTAACAAGCGGATCAGCCTCCTCAAGGCGAGAGAACATGGTCAACGATATGCCGACAGCCAGACCGCGAAGGATCTTCTCGTGCTGCGTTTCCTGGGCATACGACACCATGTCCTCGATGGCCTGTGCGTTCTTGGAGCCCAGCATAACCATGCCCATTGCAATGCCCGCCGCCTCGCCGGTAACGGCATCATCCTGGTACAAATTGAACTTCAGCTGTTCGTACAGATCCTGTCGGTGGGTGCCCATGCCGGCCAGACCGAGGCCCAGACAGCCGCCGTGACGCACATTCTCGTTCTGGGCATCCTTCAGCTGCTGCAACAAGTAGTCAATGATGTTGGCTCCGTGATTGGCATGTATGAGGCCCAGAGCATAAAGCGCGCCTCCCTCAGAGTAGCCAGAACTGGGACCCGCCTCCTTGGGCAAGTAGCTTTGCATCAGCGCCAGCGAATCCTTTTCGTGTCCTCGATGGATGACACCCAGCGAGGCGGTGGCCGTTAATTTGGCCCAGTTTGTCGCCCTCGCCAACCAATCCAAGTTGTCGCGAAGGAATTGATCGGAGGTGGTGCCGCTGTGCATGAAGGCATTGGCGATGACAGTGGCCGTGTGGCAAACGGACACGCGCACAGCCTCCTTGGTGCCGCGCAGCACCTGCAAGTCGGCATGATTACTGCGGATGAGGAACTGCAGCTGCAGATCAATGGAGATCTCGCCGGACAGAATGGAGATCAGCTTCTCGATATTTTTCTGATGCAGTTTCTCCACTTCGTTCAAGGAATCGATTGTGCGTTCGACCTTGGGCTCAGCTGGAATCAAAAACCATCCAGTTTATTTAACCAAATGCTATAAATCAGTCTTAGACGTACCTTCTTTTTCTTCCGTAATATCTTCGTCCGGTTTGGCTTTATCTTCGTCAGACTTGGCCGCCGCATCGCCCGAGCTAGTTCCCTGCGGCTTGAACGTGCTGGGCAGGGCTGTGGGAATTGGAGCTGTATCCTTGAGAGCCTGCAGTACGTTGCCCAGAAACTCCTGGGTGGCCGACTCGTACAGATCGAAGGCGATCTGATAGGCCATCAGATTGTTTGTCTCCACAGCGGAACGTGTCAGAGTGTCTAGCATTTCTGCCACGGCCAGAGGATCCTCGAGGAATATGAGGCACTGGCACATGTTTACATAGTCGGGCACGCCCAGGTCTTTGTAAAGGCCCACCAAACAGCGCAGCACCTCGTTGCGGAAGCCGCGACTCTGTATCAGCGACATTGTCACATTGTAGGCATAGGCCAGCATGCCGCGTACATCGTCAGACTTCATGATGGCCACCGTGAAGATGTCCATGCGACGGGTCTCCAACGCAATACCCAGAGCCTGCCTAAACTGGTTGTCGTCCAGACAACGCTGGATCATGCGATTCACAATACCTTCGAGGCGCTCATCTACAGCGGTGGCTTCCTTGGGGTTCTCTATGAACTGTACGCGTTGGGCAATGTAGAAATCAATGCACTTGGCAATGATTGTCTCCGTGTATTCGTTGCGCGCATTCACATCGAACAGGTCTCCAGCGCCCAGCGCATAGGTGAGGGCATCCTCAAATGATCCCAAGTGATAGAATACCTTGGAGGCAACCATGCCAGCCAGTTTGTTTTCCGGGAAACCTCTGTCCTCATGCAGCATCTCAATTTTCTCTATGGACTCGGATATTTCCGGCCAAAACTCGTCCACAATGTTGTCCAGCTTCTTCAGTGCAAATACCTTAAGATCTGGCATCGGTTCATCGAGTAGGGATATTATCCCCGCGGCGGATGTAAGACTCATCTTTGTGCTTCGTTTTTTCCAGCTGAATATCGGTTCTACAAAAGTGTAAATGACATATATACAATTTCAAAACCAAATTTGCCTAAAATCATTTCAATTCAAGTCATTTATTCCGTACTTACCACAATATTTTGCACTTTTTTTTATAATTTTTTTTTTATGTCGAGAAATGCTAAATCACCATGTACCAGTGTGCCCGCGGAGTTATCGGTAAAATATAGCGACAGACCCTTGGAAATATACCGACAGACCCTTGGAAATATACCGAAATATACCCCTAATATTTCTAAATATACTATAAATATACCGTAAATTTTAAATAATTGTATACCATTTATCAATCCACAAGATTGCTTACTCGATTTTTTTTTGGAATGTTTACAATAAGTTAAAAACTAAAAAGGTGAACCAACATAAAAAGCATAAAACGTTATGTGAGTGGGAATGGATTGCTACTTTTTGGACAATTTGTTGCTTGTCAATTGGTAGATAGAAGAATAGCCATTTTTATACCCTACTTCCATAAATAGTTCCATAAATAAAAAAAGCCCAACGCCCTAAAGCGCCACCATTCGTCATTCTTCTCGGGTATTATTTTTATTTAAGATATTGTAAAATGTTTAAAATATATCAGCCGATAGGAAACAATTTCATCGATAGGCAATGAATCGAACATTATCGATGGTTTTGCAGCTCTATTGACCTCAAACAACAACAAACTTTTTTGATTCAAATTTTGTGCATTAAATTACCAATTTTTGTATAAAAAGTACAGACGGCTAGAAATCAAACTCAATAGTCGTGCATTAGTGATTGTTTTTTGTTTCGTCCCGTGCCGTCAAGCAATGTTGAATGTGTGCCGTCTATGTCTCGCAAGCGACGCCACATTTTCGATTTTCAATGGCCAAACAGCCCTGAGGATAATGGCTTGCACTGCTGTCGAGGTGCAGCCCAACGATGACCTGCCGCAGAGCATCTGTCCGGCATGTCGTTTGCGAGTCGAGGAGTACTATGCCTTTCGCAAACGTTGCCACGCCGCGGACAGGACACTGCGGCGTAACAAGGTGCTGCAGAGCCAGGACCCGAAAGGCGGGCTATTAGACAGGTTGGTGGGCGCCGAGGAGGAGAGTGAGTTGCACGATGTGTCGGACTGCACAACCACTGCCTGTTCAGAGAGCAACGCCCAGTGGCGCATGCAGACGGCTCAACTTATCCGCACCGAAATCGATTCCTACAAAAAGGAGCTGCTGAACGTATGCAAGCAGGAAGTGCGTGCCGAGATCGAACATGAGGTGCGCCAGGAAGTTGAGGAGCTGATTGTGGAAGACGCGAAGAAAAAGTGTCGCATCAACGTCCTGGATGATTTGTTCTATGAAATGGAGCGATTCTTCTCACGCAAACGAAACGAGACGCTAAACGGTAGTTTCAAGGGCTCGCAGAGCTTCTTCTCCGACTCGGAAACAATGCAACTGGGCAGCATTACGTCGTCGAACCAGGTGATGGCGGTTGAAGGATCCGACTTTTACGAATCTGAAGCACAGCCAGAGGCACCTCCCATACAGGAGGAGGCCATACAAGATGGCAATGTCAGCATTGTGGATCTCGTAGGTTAGTTCTCTTGATATGGAAAATGTTTGTGGTAGACTAAAACTATTTCATACATTTCAGAAGATGATCCAGACCCGAAAACTCCACCGAACACAGCACCAGTCCCAGTCACAGCTCCTAGACAAATTTTGCCAGTGACCATGGTGGAAATACCCATGTCGGGTTCGGAATTGAATCACTTGCGAGAAGATTTCCAACCCGATATCTTCCTGCTCTCTGCATCCACCACTGAAGCAACCAAGCCGAAGCATCCATCCGTCAAGAAAGTATCTCAGCAAAAGAAGAAGAATAGCCCACGTAGTAAGGAACGTGGCATATTGTGTCGGAAGCACAACAAACAGTCCGACCCAGCATCCGTGGACCCTGCCAACTGTTTGCGCTGTCGTCTCAGACGCGGAAATAGGCTTAACTCCACTGTGTCATAGCGTAGGCATATTTAATGTCACTCGAAGAAATAATGCCCATAACTATATGCATTCATACATGTATCCATAATATAATACATATAAAACCACGTTTTTTTGGAACGTCTATAGTTATAGAGCAAAATAAAGATTAAGACTAAGATAATTTCCTTTATATATTTAAAATTAAAGCTTTCGCGCACTTTTTTGGTCTAGCCAAGTCCGTTTTGCAGCACTGCTGCAAATGAGAAGGTATATTTTTAAGGGTTCTTGCGGCATATTTTGGTCCTCAATATATCCGCGTACACACGGTTGAAATTTCGAAATTCTTAATTTTTGTTGTTCGTTGGATATTTAACCACGAAAATGAGTTCAATGTAAATTGACGGGTATGTTTAATTAATTTCAATCTTAAATTCAATTTTTAAGGATTGTTCAATATAGGGTATAGAAACTCCCAATCGTATGATTTTCAAGATTTCATGTTTGCAGATTATGGATCGATATATATAAACATGAAAACTAGCCAACCTTATGCAGAATAGATTCATCAATTGGATAAAATTATAGTTTAAGCGCTGAAAATCTTAACTAGCTGGGAATATTATGCAGAATATCAAAATCGAGTAAAATGTTATAGGATATACGGTATATTTTTGAAATGAAAAGTTATTTTTCTGAGGGTCAGGCGGTATATTTTATCGATAGATCCGCGTCCCCACTGGTTACAATTTCCAAATTGTTGTTAATTTTTGTTGTTTACGATGCCACAGGCGGAGTTGTCTTATCCCGACTTGAAGACCTTGTGCCGCCTGTGTCTAAAGGAGCATCTAGATGCCTACACCATCTTCAGCGATGATGCCACGGAGCTCTCCATCCCGATGCGACTGATGGCCTGTGTCTCACTGGATCCAAAGCCATCAGATCCATTTCCCAAAAAGATATGCGACGAGTGCCGCTACCAACTGGAGAAGTCCTTCCTGTTTCGCCAACGCAGCCAGGCGGTAGAGAAGAAACTGCGAAAACACATTCGCCTGCTTGGCATGGGCAAGAAAAGCCGCGTCTTTTCAAAGGAGCCGGATGACTACGACGAGGATGAGCTGGAGTTTGAGGAGTCGCTGGCATTCATAGCCCATCAAGACCAGAAACGCGAGGCACTGGCAGAGAAATGGCGTGAAAAGTTTAAGGAGGAACAGGAGGTGGAGTTCGCCAAGCGTTTGCAGTCATCGCGCTTGGTGCTGCGCCAAGAAGTGGCTGCTGATGTGCGAAAGGAGTTGGCGGACGAAGTGCGAAAGGATGTGCGTGAGGAGCTTCGCAACGAGGTGAACGAAGAGATTCGCAAGGAGCAACTGGCCAAACTCGTGGGCGAACTAGAAGTCTTTCTAGTTGAAAAGAAAGCCGGCTCGTGGGAGCCGATGGAACCAGAAACAAAGCTCGTAGACCAAGAGACCGTTCCAGATTCGCCTCCAGCCGCACTTCCCAATCATCCAATTAAACGCTGTCTCAGTTCTGCCTCAAAGCACCCGCCAGCACAATGCCTGAAAGCTGAAGAGGTCGAGTTCGTGCTTGGCGGCGATCCAGAGACTTCAGCCGCCGATGAGGTTGAGATGGACCCCATCGACATAGATGAAGACGCCCCAATAGATGCCACCACTCACGAGTTTACTGACATTAAGATGGTCGATGTCGATGCTGGAGATGTGGTGAGGACTGAGGATGGAGAAATTTACATTATCAATTCGACCACTGCAGTGGAGCCCAAGCACGACAGCCCCCCGCCAGAGTTTCAACAGGACAGTGACATCACGTCTTACAACAGTTAGTATGAGATTCTATGCGAAAGGAATATCATATAGATTAACCCTGTCTAATCCTGTTATCGTGCAGTTAAGGACGACGGAGAGATTCAGTTCAGCGGAGAGAAATCGGAGGAAATGGGCGATGTTGTTGTATTTAACTTAGACGGCGACATATCTGAGGAGCAGCAGGTCTACAATTTTGAGCAGAACGTAATCATTGTGGTAAGTCTAATGGAGACATGGATAATGGATATAACATTCTGCGTATCCTTTTAGCCCAAAGAGAAATCACTCAAACGTGACACCCGCCAGCCAAGCAAAAGGAAGCGATCGAGCGAGTTCGTGTCGAAGCAGTCGCCTCGTGAGCCCCAGCCAAAGGCCTGTCGAGTTACCGATACGGTGAAGACGTTTCAATGCCAAATGTGTCCGACGGCCTTCCCCACAGAGAAACTGCTGACGCGCCACCACAATGGCCACATAAAGAACCTGAAGAACGGCAAGGGCGGCACGTTGCAGTGCCCCATTTGTGAGCTGCAACTGTCCTGCGCCAGTTCCCTCAAGCGCCATATGATTATCCACACCGGTCTCAAGCCCTACAAATGTGAGGAGTGTGATGTGTCCTTTTCGCAGCGAGAAGTCCTCAAGCGCCACATGGACATCCACACTGGGACAAAGCGTCACAAGTGTTCGCAGTGCCAGAGTTGCTTTGCCCAAAAGTCCAACCTGCAGCAACACATTGCGCGGGTGCATATGGGAAACTCACGAACGCACAAGTGCCATCTGTGCGAGAGAAGCTTCAATCATGTGTCGGGCCTCAGTCGCCATCTCGTTGCCCATAATGGCGTAATGTTCTCCTGCACAGAGTGTGGGCGACAGTTCAATGATCGCAGCGCCGTTCAGCGACATCTCCAGACTGTCCACAAGATCAAAAACAAAAGAGTGGACTATACTTCCGAACAAGAGCCAGAGTTTGAGTTCCAAGCGATTTAGTTTTAATTAGCTGCAATATACAAGAATTTCAAACTAGTACTTAGTGTCCGCTGAGCCAGAGGAGAAACAGCAATGACAATTTTTAATTAATTTAATTCGAATAAGTTACAATTTTATTCTGAAACTAGGGGGGGGGGGGGGGGGGGG